ATGGCCAAGCGAGGCTGGAATTCTTGGAGTCGGCTTTCGGAAAGAAATTCCCGTCGTCAAGGGGTTAAAGCACTCCAAAAACTAAACTCTATTTATAGTTTATTCTTTTGGCTGACAACGTTTGATCTTACCTCATCCCCAGCATAGTGGCCAACATTCGTCAGGGTGACACTGATATGAAGATCATCGCAGGGTTTGAGAAGAGGATTGGACACTGTAATCCTGTTATAGGTGAACTCAGTATAGGACAGACCATAGCCAAATGGGTAGAGTGGTGTACCCGTGAAGTAACGATAGCTACGGTTGTAGAAGCTGTAGTTGGTCATCGGAGGCACCTATTGAAAATATTCATGTGGATTTCAACATATTAGTTCTTTAAAGAAATGAGCAACATGTATGAGAGTGCTGTAGATGAATCCATCATAAGTCCAGTCACTAATCTTTTCATAAGACTGTTCATAAGTAACTCTGTGAACAGTGACGGAGGAATGCTTTTGAACAGATTATTTGAAGAGTATGAGACTTGGCTCAAGACTGGATGACTTGTGATAGACTCTACGACAACACTGATGTATTTACAACTACCAGAAACTGAACAGAAGAACCAAGACAGTTAAAATCTTAAGATCGTCAGTCAAATGTAATCTGCAGGTCAGAGGTATGTGTACTTGTCCACAATCGTCAAGAGGGTGTATTGCCTGCCATCTGCACAGGCACCACATAACTAGCTTTGTGGTTTCCTTTGAAGATGAGCATGGTTGAGCTGAATCTGCATGCCACTGGATCATACTGGACTCGGAGGGTGTTTTTGTGAGAACAAACTGCTTCTGACAGATTTGAAACCTACGTCTTCCATAGAAGCCGGCCACGTGTACGGAAGCCTTGCTGCAGGGTTGCCCTCTGGGCCATTGGTCATGAAGCGAGCCACAGCCAGGCCGGTAGCCTGAGCCGGGAGCCAACACTCCACAATGGCATGGACATCGGGGCTTTCATCGGCCCATGTGATGTTCAACGGACCAGCGTTAAATAGGAGCAGAACTACGGGACGACCATCGGCTGAGGATTAAAAGAGGTGTTTGATGTCATTTTTTACCGTGTACGAGCGCAGACTGATCCAACTGGAGGTGAGGGACAGTAATTTTGAAGGGCAACAAGCACCCAATATCCACTGGATAGACAGTGTATAGCACTGATTCTTTCGATAGACGGTTTTCAAATAGTGGTTATGCGTTAATGCATCCTAAGAGAGCAAGAGTTTTGTATCACTGGGATAGACTCAAGTAAACTTGTACATTCGTGGTAACTAAATTAAAATAACAAAACAGCTTCCGAGAAACCAGCAACACATAACCTCTACAACGTATGGCCATAGAGCTATGTATAAAAACTAAAGTGCAGACTCATGTACAAAATGATACCTTCTGGGCCCAGCCATGTTTGTGCACAAACCTATGGAAAATGTGGTAATTTGCATATCTACATCTGTATTCTAAAACAATGCGTCAACAAAGCCGATACGCGAAAAACTAAACACGCAATCAGTGAATGAGAGTCTAATTTTGCTCTGTGTAAACAACACAAATGCGTGTGCATATGCACTGCAGATAATTTTGCTGTAACTTTTTCAAATAGGATTTTATTGGTACGCAATGCGTGTTGCATTAAAAGTACATAATTTGATATTCATTTTCTCAAATGGAATGTTCTACAAGCATGTACAGGGATTCACGTACAGGGATTCAACATTTCTGCATCCAAGACGGCGTCAATTTTTCTCTGCGCAGAGGATGAGAAGGCAATGCTCTAGTAATTTAATATAGCTCTATGTGCATAGCTTAGATGTGAAGTAATAGACATTGCTTAGTGACTATCTTTTGCGCCAGAGCAATTATTTACATCCAAGGGCACTTTTGCCATTGCCATTAAAGGCCAATTTACCGTATTTGACAGCGTCCTGTAGAAGCTGTAGCTGTGAACCGGGCAAGTCCATGTTCGGGCGGTCTCGAGACTCACTTTCTATTGATGTCCCTGCCAACACATATTAGAGTTCCAATTTAAAAGTATTCAGACTGATTCACATGTTACAGAATTCAAGTTGAATTTGGCATGTTTTCAAAGATTTGAAATAATTAAACAATGTGGAAGATTTTAAAAGTTTAATCTTTAAAAGGAAAACAGAGTGATGAAGATAGCAGAATATTTCCGGGGGGAGGTTAGAATCTACGGTCATTTCCAAAATTGTGCCTTCTGCTTCTTTTTTTTTGATCGAATCACACTAAATTGTTAAAACTGTTGCTGTCAAAGGAGACATTCCAAACTTGAGCCTCGCATCCGGCCAATTTGATGTTCCCGAGTTGGAATAAACCACACGCAAAAGCCAAGGTTTCCAAAACCAATCAGGTGTAACATGTTTTTTCCCTATCCAAAAGAGACTGGTTCCTGTTCTCACTGTATTTCTTGACTTTAGCAGATGAGGTTGGGAGCCAGTTCGAAGTGACAGCTCTTATTACTGGTTCCACGTATTTTTACAACACCCTTAGGGTCACTTAATATCAGCAAAGTCTGCTGCTTAGTTGTGTTCCGTTTCTGACCAGGAGATGGTTGCTGTGAACGGAATCCACATTGCTACATTAAAACAGTTTACAAACCACACAGTAATACCAAAATGCTTCTGAAAATTTCAAAAAAAAATAAGTTAATAACTTTTTCCTGGCAGCATACCTGTACCCAAGCACACAACAACAAAATCCACATCTGTGACAGCGCTGATAATTTCTTTCGGATCGTAGTCAGTACATCTAGGGCTACTGCACCCTCCGGCATATTTCACTATTGATGCAATGCTCTTCAAGCCCTCCCTGGTGGTAGTGATGTACTCACGCAAGGTGCCCGGTGGGTAGTCCCCAAAGGGGTCATAGGGCGAGTCGGCCATAGGACCAACAACCTGTTTGCACATGAGCACATCATTGGACATTTTATTTGGTGAAAGAAGCATACACATGTATGGTTCTGTGGCTCTTAAATACGTCGTGACTTGTACGTACACAATGCATACAGATCTAGAGATAATTTAGGGCTCAGATGAAAGTGGCAGGTTTATTTTTGCATTTCAAGTGTACATAGACAAATTCAGTGATGGTCTGCAGGATATTCCCAATGGCCCCCTTGAATAGCAGAAGGCACTGTGTTGAGTTTTATACAGAGCAACCACCAAGGAACACTGGCTACGTACAATAATTATCACAATGCTTTCTGCCATTGGTGGGGGCCACTGTAAATGACCAGTGATAGTGTTACTGTGTTCATCAAATTTTGTCTATAATGATTAACAGCAGAAAGCACATTAAGCATGTAAAGGCTTTCTCACACAAGAGAGAAACTATGGCATCTTCTCTGATAAACTCTTGTGATAGTGGATAACAAAAATTACATTACAAGACAGATCAGTGTAAGAAAGTGTTCTCTCAGAGCCTTCAAGATAAACTGATCGTTTTGAGGGATTTTGCAGGATTGGGTAAGGTGAAGTCAAACCACAATGAGTTTACATTGGGGCTTGAGAGAAAAGAATAGCCCGCTGGTTTCCTGCACTGTGAAAGATTGTGGTTGATCAAGGACAGTTCCAATCAAGAATCTTTGAGGAATTGGGAATCTGGAAAAGATCTACTTACGGCCAGAGTTGCAATCTTGCCAACGGGCAGGACGTTGCCGATGTGTTTCAGCAAGACAAAGGTCCTGACAGCCACAGAGACTGCCAACTCCTGATGCTCAGCGCTCTCCACTACTTCGTCCACATTCAGCTTGGTGTAAGGGTTCATGTCAGGTGGGTCAAACTCTCCTAGCCTCATCCTGGTGTAGAAGAGAGGCCGGACTAGGGTGGTCATCTCCTCTATGCTGATCAGGCCCAGCTGCACGGCCTGCGTCAGGTGAGTGTAGACGGGCGTTTTGAAACCAGTCAGCTCCAGGTTGCAGCCAGCCTGGATGGCTGCCACGGTGGAGTCCAGCGGGCCTTTTGTGTAGTTGTGCGCTGAGTGCAGGTACTCAAGTGCTCCGTCGTCACTGGAGACGTAGCCTTTAAAGCCCCACTGATTGCGAACGATGTCGGTTAAGTACTTTTTACTGGCACAGGCAGGAATACCATTGATGCTGGAAAATGAGTCAGAGTCGCAAGTTGGCTGTGCTCAGTACAGTTTGAACAACTTGTTTTGCCATTATTGATCAACAATCCAAGTTTGTTCATTCATGTAACTTTTATATCCTTGATTCATTGCCGGAATTTAATTTCTTTGTTCAGCTTCTGAGCTGCTACACAGCCAACTCTCGTTATAACAAGGTAGCTGAGGCAAGCCACAGCACCCTCCTGTAACCAAAACTTTGTTGGGACAAGGACTGGAAAACAACAAAATGAAATAATTCAAGAGGCTGAGACCCTCAGAATTTGTTTCTTTGGAACACTACGTCATAACTGTGTTCTTAGCATTGAAATGTTGGCTACGATGAGATTTTTACCACAAAAGAAAAATTGCATGACGGAAGCTAACAGGACAGCATGCTCGGAGCAAACTCTGTTCTCAAACAAACATTCAAGAAGTAACAGGTGGTGTTTCTGCGGGTCTACTTGTGAATACACAAAGTTTGACTGCTTCTTGCACAAGAACTGAGTCATCACTCACACCTGCAGTATAAAGGATCTGAACTAACCTGTTGTAGCTGCAGACCAAGTTGAAGGTGCCCGCCTTGACACATTCGTGGAACATGGGGAGGTAGGTCATCTGCATGTCTGCATCATTTACCTGAATTCACAGAGCAAGACAAGAAGTTAAGACAGTTTCACAGTGGGAAACTGGGAACGGAAATATATTAGCAACACATTTCATCGACGGTAAGTAAACAATGCAGGCGCTGAGTATTTGTATCTAAAATACATTCTGTAATAGGAAGTGCTAAGTCAGACTGTTGCATCTCAAATGACTACTGAGTCTTTCTTGATGGTAGTGAGGTAAATAAAGAGAATTGAATATTCATGCTTGTGGTGAGTACTGGCAATCACCAAAGGCAATTTAAGTTCAGGAAACTTATCCTTTATAACTACAGACACTCCACTTCCTTGTGTCAAATGTGTACTAATCTGTTTTACTCTACGAAAAGAGGAGACAAGTGTACAATGGGTTGTTCACGCTGTTGGCCATCAACAGCCAGCCATGTCAGGTCTGAACGGGAACTAGTAATATCAAGATCTGCAACAGCATGCTGAATCACGAATGGACAAGTGGTTAAATGGAGGTTCTTGATCAAACTCGCCCTAAGAACGTCTAGAGGAAACCATAATTACATACATGCACCTGTTGCCCGCACCATGCCCTAACTGGTCTGCTCAACCACAGAAAGTGGACGAGAGCTTCCTCAGCAAGACAGGTAGAACAATCAAAGTGTTGGGATAATGAGCCAGTAGGGTATTTCAAAAAAGGCAGGGTCACTCAAGAATAAAACACCTATGAATATCAACCACTTATGTATATGCTCAGTGCCTGTGAGTCAGCATGAGCCTCTACCAATAGGGCCAGCCTCACACTTGCATACGTGTTCTCAAATGACCTATCACGTGCTGCTGAAATACAAATCTGGCCAATTAAGCTAGCTGTTATTAATGCACCCCCTTCGACACTTACAACGGAGTTAAACGAGAATCTGGGAGACGGAATGTCCTCAGGTCCGTCGTAGGCAAAGATGTGCTTGCAGCCAGAGCTTGTACGGACATAGCGTGGGTGATCCCCGTGCAGACCAGCCACATATGCCTTAGCTAATTCTCCCGAAATGAAAGGATCTTCGCCATAGGTTTCCTGGTAAGAAAGTACATGTGGATGTACGGAGTACTGTCAGCAGTCTACATGTACAAACTACATGTATGCACTGAGAAGCCAATGACAATATCAAGAAGTTTCAAACTACAAATGTACACGTACACGTAAGTTTAAATATAAAAGCAGGCACTTTCATCAAGAGTTGTTCCAGAAGTACCCCTTAACCCTAACTGCCCAAGGGTTGCTGGACCTAATTTTCCCCACTCACACAAAGTTAAACACCCATATGGGACTTTGTGCACTGAGGCTGTTGGACTGAGGTATGCCAAACCCAATGCAAAAGCCAGCAGTCTGGGCCTACCAGACCTATCCCCACAGAATTAAACACTTTACTGCTTTTTAATTCTGTGTGGTTGGGGAAGGTTAGAATGGTTAGGATTAATATTTCCCATTACAATTTGAATGTTTTCATTTTCTGTTTTTTTCCCAAAAAATAAATAGAGGCACATCCTTTCTGACAGGAAGATGGATAGATGTACTTGAATCTGTACTTGAATGTGTGTTTGGTGGGTGTCAAGTACATGTACATTTATATACATGTGAATATTAGTAAAAAAAACATAAAAATATTTACTGTCAGTTACCATGGTTACACCTGACCTTTGTGGAATTTGACAAGGGATATCCATCATTGAAATTGGCTTCAAGGTGTTTATTTGTTTGGCAAGTAATTTGCATTACTTAATCATTCTAGGAAATTAAAGGATGTGTTCGAAACTTACCAAATCGCATACTAGATGCAACAGGGACAGGAAAAATTGTACCCCGAATTTATGCAATAACTCAGTAGGCAATGTTTTACCAATATCATTAAATCTGTGTATACATGTATATATGTATCATTTCACATGCAGAGACATGGGTGGTAGGTCTACCATTAAGTCTGAAGCAAATTTCAACAGACTGGAATACAAATAATCAGGATAATGCATGAACTCCTTGTATTATCGAGAAGGAACCAAACGCACCATTGCTGCAGTCTACAAGCAACAAGGACAGTGTCACTTTGCATTGCCGTATTGGCCAATACATGCAGGGGAGTTGCAGGCAATCACGAATACATCCGCATACAGGTAGCAGAACAATGACTGGATTGAGTGGATTCGTTGGTCTTTACCTGAATCCTTCCCCACAAGGGATGCCTCACAATATTGATGACGGGACTAAAACAGCTCAGTCCACCAAAGTCTTTGTATATTCCATGGCTTGTGTAGTTGTTGTATTTGGCGCGGACCTCTATGCTTGTTGCTGTGCCAACTGCCGTGAGTAGGTCAACACTAAAAAAAGAAAGACCCAACATGTCATTCAAGTTTCACTCAAGGTATCCATGTTGTGTCCAATTACAAGTTCCTGTAAACTGAAACGTGTCCAAGGTCAGTCTTTTATTTAAGTTATCAAGGGGCCAATTTCATAGAGCTGCTTAAGCACAAAACTTGCTTAAGCGGAAAAAAATTTGCTTAATAAACAAAGGTTACCGGCTCAAACTCTATCTGATTGTCATGCTAACCCCAAAACAGCTAAACACAATCCCAGAACAATATAAATCACATGGAGTTTGAGCTGGTTACTTGATTTATCAAGCAAGTTTTTTCATGCTTAAGCAAATTTTGTGCTTAAGCAGCTCTACGAAATTGGCCCCTTAAGGCCACATCAAACAGTATTCTGTAATCTACAATATACCTACAGGGTCAGTGCTGTGACACAATTCCATCAACGCATACTGACATGTGTACAGGCTAAACACTTGCCTTGGCACTACAGATTTTTTCTGCACATGTATTCTGCACATGTAATCTGCATGACAAACTGACACTGTATCCATTTGGTTTCACTGTCATTTAACAGTTCCACAGTATGGGCTCTGCACAGCAATGGCAGAATGATTATTAAAGTGTTGGGGAAGCTGTTAGACAATCAGCCATTAATAAGCCAATCCATGAAGCCCCCGCCCCATTATAGGCCCTGCAAAAAGTGGGGAGGCTGTCCCCCACCAGTCAAAAAAGTGGGAGGGGGAGGACACCATCCCCACTTCTGCCACCAGTGGCTCTACACCTGAAAAAGATAAGGTGTGTTGTTCAAAGCAAATACAGAAAATGACACAATGGAAGCGTATGTGAATTCACATGCGTGCATACATGTATTGTGCAGAGTACCCGTGACCCGGCCATGAACAAACAAGCCACAGAGTTCACATGTGAGTGCAGCTACTCCCTTTGTCACCAAACAAAGTGTTGTCTTCTACTCTGCCACACATGTACAAGTGACAGTTGCTGCATTAGGGTTGGGGAGAAGTATGTATGCTCGTATGATTTTGCTGATAGTCGACATGTGTAGGCCATTTTCAAAAAATAAAGATTGAACATATTTAATATGAATTTACAATGGATTGAAAATTTCTGCATAAAAACAATAAACTAGAAGTGAAGATGAAATAGCCTTCTATTGTGGATTTTTTGTGAAGTTTTTGAAGGACACCACCTTGAATTTCTGGACTTGAAAAAGTAGATGTCCAAATTGTTAAAAAAATGGTCTTGTACAAGCAAATCGATTCAGTATCGAAGTATTACCTAAATGAAGCAGCTAGACCAATAGGCATTGCATATGAAGTTGCATTCCCTGATTCAACATCCCCTCGTAGACACTCAGTGACCCAGTTATACGGGCCAATACCCAGCCTAGGGATGGGTAGCGTTGGGCCGTTCTCTTTGTAGCCAGCCCGGGTCATCTGTGAGGCAATCTCGTCCAGATAGAGCCTGGGGATGAGGTCGTTGAGACGTTCATCCCAGGACAAGGAGACGTTCCGGAAAGGTAACTCGGCAGCGGTGCTGGTGATTATATGTAGGAGCAGCACACAATGCAGAGAAATGCAGAGACTTTTGGCTGTCAGCATTTTTGCAAGTGACTTACTAAGACGTATCAGGCACCAGATACCTGCTGAAAGAGCAAACATGTACATGTAATGTACATGTAACTGTCACACATTATTAAACTTGTAAGTTCATCGGTCCTGCCAGTGGTACACCCGCAGGGCATGTGCTGCCACCCAGCAGAAGTCTATGCCCTAAAGCCCTCCCCCCCATCCAGCCTGTTCAGAAAAAACCTTGAAACCGACTGTGGATTGGAAACTTCATCATCATGTCTGAGGGGTCATAGCTGCACGCCTTACATGTAACTGCCAGGCCACGTGATCACTCAGTTTGAAGGAAGGTGAATACTTACATGTACGGGTAAGATATTGTAACACGAATGTCTGGTGACCTCTTAAACTGCAGAGGAATAGCAGGGGGTTGACCGGTGATGCATTTAATAAGATTTTGGGTTGTCCGGGAGTTTGGAAACCGGGGGCTGCCACGTGTGTCCAGCCGGCGATATTGAACAAAGGGGTATCGGTGTAACCGTCAGGGGATTTTTGCTAAGATGGTGTTTTCAGGACTGTGAAAAACAGGGCCGGGGAAGGAATTAAATAATCTTAGAATTGGGAAAATTAGTCAGTCTGAGGCGAGCTGCCGAGGAATTCAAATCGGGTTGACTGCTATGTACAAGGATTTAGTTAATGTGTAGATGACTGTGACTGAACATTTAGCTTCAACTTGGATTGTGCATAAGGATTGGGTATTGGCGGGATAAACTAACTCATGCTGTAAGCCTTTGTAGGCCTATTCCCTACATGTTCTACTAGATGGCAGCAAAGTACCGTAGGTGGAGGCCTATGGGCCCTACTTTGTATACATGTATTTGCAAGATTTATTATGTCCACAAAATCAGACGGCCATGTTTGATCATGCACTGACAGATGCAGTGCAATATACACAATCAAGTGATCATGCAAATTGACTGTTCATATCCAACAACCGACCAAGATAATGTTAACGATATCAAAAACTTGAGAAAGCACTTGAGAAGACACTGAATTCAGCAACTTAAGTCCCTCCATTCATTACACACTGTCACTGAGCTAATAATAATATTAGTCTGCTGGTCATCATTGACAAAATGATTATGGTTTTAAATGCCTATGCTAGTCTCACTGGCCATACGCATACATTGGTATTACCTATATGTACCTAGTGCGGACAGTCACTTTTACTCAAGAAAACTAGGAGAAAATGCGGAAAGAGTTCCAGATACAGATGCCACTTGACATCCCGTGCACAAACCCTATGGGACTGGTTGGAAAAATTCAAAGTGTTTTCTGAGTATAAAACTTGTTTTTTTTTTCTCTCCTAAATTGAACTTTTCTGGACATGCTTTTGCTTTCTCATGGCTATTCAATCATTGAAGGGAAGAATTACTGGCATCCATATACGGAACTCTTCTAAAAAATACTCGTTTTTCTTCAAATGTGAACACTCTTTCAAGCTATGATGATGATTTCCTCGACTGTTCCCCTTTATATTTGCGACAGATATACATAACCCTAACTCCAAAATGCCTCAAGACCTAAACCTGTTTTCCAGAACAGAAGGGTGTAATCTGGTCATGCTTGTGCAGCCTGGCTTAGTTCACATAAGGTTCATCATGCATGGTTCATGCAACTTGCATGTTGACCTCCTTTTGTTCAGGGGTCTTCACCAGGTATACATGTATCATTGTATGCATGTCATGTGGGCGTTTTTAAGGTTTCTACAAACACTGGCCTTCTTCCTAGTAAAACTAGGACTCAACTACAAGAACGTGAATCTCCTGTTTTATTATTGAATTTGACCGTCCAAATGTAATTAAAGAGGAAATTCATAAAGTCCTAGTTTCTTCCGAATTCCTTCCAACTGGGGACACCCCTTTTCTGGTTCATTTAGTCTGGGACTAGGATTTGGTCACGTCACATAAACCCCTGCCCTGGCAATTTTAGTCACTCATTTCATGGAGGAAAGCTCCATGGTCATTTGCAGGCATTAACTAACGTTAACCATGCTAACTCATGGCGTTGACTTACCCCACACGTCTTACGTATTACTTAACTAATGTCTAATCCTGTCGCACTGTGTTATGAAGGCTTGGTCTGGTTGTAACTTGCAAGGATGGTCCAAAAATCCGTCTGTTTTTGATTGTAGGCCTACGAAAGAATTCAAGTTAACAATGCTATGCTAAGGTCACGAGACAGCCCACATGCAAGCAGTGGTAGTTTACCGGAAATGCCGCTACGCCCGTTCGACAGTACAGCTACATATGTACAGTGTACGTTGTCCATGCACCTCTCACAACGTCAACAGCTAGCCCTAGCCACGCCGCGCCACAAAGCCGATACGCACGCACGACGAAGGTGAGAGCAGATATCACGTGAACCTTTGTCACGTGCACTTTGTTGTGGCAGGTTGCAGGTACCCGTGAGGGCGCACTGCTAAACACCACGGAAACGAGGTAAAGACATACCCTCAATGGTGTTACATGTTCAGCAGCACAGAAAAAAACATGATGAAAACATGTCGTCTTTCAAATTCCTTACACTTCGACCAATGACTTTTGGAGAAATTCTCATCCAAAGCAGACCACACCTAAAACGAAAGATGTTTCTCTGACAGGGAAAAGTAGCCAATATGAAAAGGCATCCCTCTGCATAACGGCTGAATAGTGCCACTTTCGGATCTAATTGCATCCCAATTGCTCAGACTTGGAAGCCCAAGGCCAGGGCTTCGGTGCCATATTTCTTCAATACCCCAATTCCACGGCTATCAGAACTCTCAGTTGAGTGTATAACTTTTAATGAGCTCGTCGGACAGATTTTTTCGTATTGAATTGGGGGCACCGTAGGTTGCATAATAGCGTATTGTATTTTTACTTTCTACAAGATTCAACAATCTGTCAGGACAGAAGCCCTCTTAAACGGTAACTAACGGGCAGAACCCACGGTTTTTCATTATGTCCTATGCAGTCCTTGATGATTCTCGTCTGTTTTGCCGTCTATCTATAGCCAGTAAATGCATGAAAGGAAGGTCATGTTAGAAAAAGTCAGCCTCTGGTGGATCGTTTGGGGAAAGTAGGCGAGGCTTTTTTGTGGTCACCAGTCTTCATATCTTTTAAAATTCCAACAACCGTTGCTGGTGCTCTGTTTAAAGACAAAAAAATTAAAGAGACGCAACGTGCAAGAAAAATTCACAGTATTTGCAGACTTTTTAAAATTTCAGTAGTTTGTTTTGTAAGTTTGACACGTTGAGGCTCACAACGAAAATGGCACTCATACGAACTCCCGTTGAACTGCAATGGAGGAGGGCGCCATGATTGGATTCGGCTTAGGCAGAGCTGCGAGTTTAAGTGCGACATAAGTGTCTCAATTGTTGGAACCAAAATGGTGGATTACGCATGCTATATAACATTTACTGCACACATACTGAACAGCCATTTTGGTTCCAAAATCTAGAATTGGTGCTACTCTCTCTGTATACAGCTCTGGGCTTAGCATTTTCATCTCATAATGTGCTATATAGTCTTCAAATTTTCCGGTAAAATGTACCAATTGTAATTACTGCTCTTAATTGACACAAATATCACCTGACCTAACCTAATACCAGAGGTTTAAAACGTAGCTGTGCTGAGAAATTGTTACTTTTACCCTCAGAGATTCGGTTATTTTGGCCCATCTCACAGCCGAGGCGGGTTCCGCCCTCCCCCCCCCCAACTTGGCTGTGCCGCACTCGATTTTTTTGAAAGTTGACAAAAATGTGAAGTTTCAACTTCTAAAGCTTTAGCTCATGTAAAAAAGGTGCACTGCGACGATGTCGGAAATGTTAAAGGGGGCGGATTTCCTCAAGCTCTTTTAGGGTCAAGTTTATCAGTAGAACGGGTGATGTGCGCTCCGTAAATAGGTCACTTTTCCCGTCTAAAAAAACTTGAGCCAATGTTTCAAATGTTATTATTATAATGGCCAAACTAATTCACTCTATTCATTTTCCTGTTCTGGGGCACACCTCATTGTGCTTCTGATGTATATTTGTTCTCTAGCTATTTTCTCTAAGCCGATCTAAGGCTGGCATTTCGGTTAATCATTATGTTCATAAACTTTGTAATCGAATGAAATCTTGCCAGATATAAACGTATAATGTACATCTTGAACAGATATGAACGCTCTGAGCGGTTCAGATTATTGATACGATTTAATTAAAAAATTACAACATATCAATCCTCAGAATTTATGAAAAATGTTGGAGTTATTCAAAGTGTCTTAATTGTAAAGTAGTTGGGTTGTATGCAAAAATAATAATCACATAGTTTTCAATAACAATCAAATGTACTCTTTTTTGTCAATAATATCAAGGCTCCCAAGCTTAGATGTTCCCGGATAGCACCACTGAAATTATTTTCAACTCGAAACCGACAAAATGTTACAATGTGAAACCGTTATCCAGTTGTGAGGTCACGATCATCGTTGCCAAGGTGCCGATTAATTATCTTCTGTTCAGCGGGACAGTGGCGTGCAACCACGTTTAGACCAGAACCCCTCCCCATATGGGGGCGTATGCTGTGTCTTCATTCGACTTCAATTGAAAACCTGAGACTTTCCAGGGTGTTTCAGTCACCCTGACGATTGCTCACTGAGGTGAACCCAACATCGAGGGGCCCGGTCGATTTCCTCATTTTTGTGTCGAACCAGATGGTGAATTTTAAACTTAAGCAACAGAAAGCAAATTTATCACGTTATTATCTTTCGAAAGTTCGAAAGAAAAAAGTTGTGAAATAATTTCAAGAAATGTTTAATTAAAAATAATTTTAAAAAACCACTTTTGATCATTGTCCATCACACTGTATTAAGAATCGTTAACTAACCAATGGGATGGTATCAAACTGTTTTTAGAATTTATATCATGTGGGTTCCAAGCTAAATTTAGCGTATAACACTGAAGTATGATGTTTTGTTAAAAACGTGAAATTATTCAACAAATTTGACCGGACTCAAGTTTATTCTTTACGGACTCTTTTAAGTTCAAAAATGCAGAGTTATCATAAATTTCAATTTCATTATGACCAACTCATGAATGAGTTCCACCTATATGATGTGAAAAAGCAGAACTTCAAAAGAAAAAAAAACAAACCTGCCGTAATTTAGTGTGTAATGGAACAATAGGCTTACTGTGTTGAACTTAAAATGTACTCTAAACTACAAAAAGTGGTGCACACACACCAAGAAGTAATAAATCTCGCCTGCTTCATTTCAAATTTTTGAAATTTTTTTTCTCACAAATCTTTATAAAGTTCCATACAAAGGAATTTACCACAGCTAGTTTTTTTAAGTTTCCGTTAAGTATTTAATTGTGGGCATTTCGGTCTCATTTCACCTCTATGGTCTGGTTAACTTTCTCGTATTGGAAGTAAGTGTACCAGGAAGAACGAGTTGTGAACATCCCTTAAAGTTGTAACAACAGACGCTGTTCTATTTTAATAATATATTAGTGAATTTCATAATGGTTTACAACTTGAAAGCTTGCTTAGGTTGTTTGTCCCCGACAGTTTTGATGAGAACATGACTTGTTTAAGTTTAAACCAGTGAGGGCGCTGTGACCCATTTTTCCAGTCCTGTCAGCTGCGCTACGTCGATACGCGATGTACATTATGTCAACATGTGTGCCATGTAGCCTGCGTACAGGCCCGGTATAATTAATTTGTGGAACCGTGGAGGAAGCTTTCAAGGAAAACAGCATGCACTAGCCATGGTGAGATTCTCATTTAGTTATTTAATAATAAACTAACCTAAATCTTCACATGGCATCACCTTCACCCATTATACAACGTGATGTTTGCAGGGCTAGGGATTACGCCGAGTTTTTTTCGCGGGTAGACCCGATAACTTCGAAGGAGCGCAAACGTCCACGCGAATCATGTGAATGTAGGCTAAGCATTCTAAGCTAGGCCCTGTTGTGACTTGCGAATTGTGGTGAATTTGACTTTATCTCAAAAGCACCACGAACACGAGTACGAACTAAGCTGATGCACCTTGTGAGGAGGCGGTGTGAATTTGGTCCATCAACCTCAGACCCGGACACCGGGTAAGTAACTAACAACAGTCTAAAATTTAACTCTAACCATGCTCAGTGCATAGAGGAAGGAAATGCACTGATGACATAAGCATAGGACCTTATCATGAGGATTGCATCTTTGGTAACTCCCTCCCCCCAGTTCTTTGTCATTTTAATCTTGCAAAACGGGTAAGTCCCCCCAAAAAACAAAGGCAACGCTCTCTTTATTGCGCTGACCCTATTTTTGAAATTTCAAATAATAAACATGGCCCAAAGATTGACCTGACAGATTTTACTTTAATATCCCCATCAGAATTGGGTGGGAATACCACAGTCTTTGTAAATAATTATCCAGTTGTGTTCAGAATAAGTGTATAAATGCTTGGCACTATCTGTCATTTCCAGATTTAAGTGAAAAATGGGGCAGAAAGTAGGCCTACCCATGAACACTTTGAGTCACCATACAGTGGTAAGAACTCAGAAATCAGAACTTACTGCGTGAAGATTTCTTGAAAGTCTTAAAATTGAAGGTTGCACCAAGCATTTATATAATTTCCAACACAACTGGATACTTATTTTCAAAGATTGGCTGTGTGAAACTGATTTTGGTTGGGGTATGAAAGTGCTCTTTGCTCCTTCGTCTTACTCAGATGTATGATCCTGGATTGAGTGTCCAAGCTCCTCCCCCCTTCCCACCAGATCTGTTAAATGTTTTGTACCGGTACATAGCCTCACAAGGCTGGCCTGGAGACTTACATGTACCTCAGCAAGGCAAGTCTCCAGGCCCCACATCTCCACCACGTGGTTGTCTTATTAGACCTAATAATGAAATCAGTCACTGTTCTTGTTGATTTGACTTTAGGATCATGATCCCTGGCATCCATTTATTGTTTGTTATGATTCCGACTGATGCAGTTCATTAAATCACTTCCCCAGAAATGCCCCCATTTTATTCAATCATCACCTAGATGTATAGTTCAGCTGACTTTTGATTACAAATAAAATACAGGGTCTACAATGTATATGCACAAGATTTGTAGATTAACATTACAGTCGATGCTGCCACCTGCTTGAGCGACATGTAGCCTTGGAATATGAGTGAGTAATCAGTCCAGAGTATTACCACATATGGGCACAGTGACCTGTCCCTTCTGATACAGCAATTTTTGTCCAAATTTAACTTTCAATATCTCAAGTTGGCAGTGACAAATTTTTTTGATTCCATGGGTCATGTTTAAGACTGGCCAACATTGCTATTAATTCTATCAATAACATGATTACAGATGTACGGTCCATCATTTGCAGTTATCCAAAAAGTACGGTACATGTGCCGGTAACTGACAAGTTTATTGTTGAAAAGCATACATGCACTTGTTTAAAGATAGTCCTGGAGCTACATGTAAACTCCCTGAGAAACTGTTCTTTCTCGCAAGGTGTTACTGTATATTGAAGAAAACAATGACGGCAGGTAATTTCCAATGACACATGTACAGGTACATCAAAGATCCGTATTTGGGCAATTGCCATTGGAAACACATACGTGTACCGATAAACCGACAAGCGTTGGCGCGATACATGCGCAAACGGTTACCATGTAGTGTATGACATTACGAGTGGTACCGGTAGCTCTGCATTCAACTGAATGTGAGAACAGGTCCCAGACGCTGAATTCAGGCGCAATTCAAAACATGATCTGTAATCAAAATCCTGGAATATTGTTTTTCTTGGAAATATTCACTGAGCTGAAACTTCATTATGTTTGTTCTTTGGTACCCTTCTTCAGATATTGAATATTTTGGTTACCTCCAAGGAACATAATGCACAAATGACAAATTTACCATACTGTACAAACTGGAGGCTTCTTTGAAGTGCTCCTAATAAATTTTGTTGTGTGTGGTAGCATATGTAGAACGTAGTATTAATTGGTTCCTAATGGTCCCAGTTGGTTTTACATGCACATACTGTACTTCTGAATTTGGTTACTTCAGCTTGGCCTGTAAAATACTGATATCTTAATACCCTCCCTGCTTCCGTCAGGATGTCCTGGCAAGGATTGAGCTTTGCAATATTTCTTTCTGGCATTGTATGAGTATGGTATTGTATATTTCTCTAGTAGTTGGGAAAAGGGCTACGTGGACTGTAGATTGGTCATGCTTTGTCCACTTCATGTAGCCTACATGCTGACATGAGCATGCATGATACTATACATGTACCTTTGCCGAAATGTTAACATTGCCTATATTTCAACTGCAGCAACTGTACCCGCAAATTGTGTAGAAAATACCTAAATGTACAATGTACATGTATGTAAATGCATGTGAGTTACACATACATGTAGGTCTAGCGATAAGGATGGGTATCACTATACGGTAAATGGACAAAGAGCTGTAGAAACAGGTACAGGTACATGTAGTTCTAGATAATTGATACGGTAATTCTGCAAAATTCTAACGAAAAACCCCAGCAAGATTCCTGTTCTCCTACACTCTGTGTGTGCCAGCCTTTTTTTATTTACAGTGTCGTGCCTAGAGTTATCAAATGTTCTTAGAAGTTAATATTGTGATTCTGAATTCTTTTCAAGATGTTCGTCTGTTAAAGACAACCGGGTGCCGGTGTGTTCATACATGTACATGTACCAGGAGTTGACTAACAGTGCACTTTGGAGGTACTGTTTGTATGACAGAATTACGTATGCTGCAGTTATTTTGACCTTTTATCCTTGGGGCAGCACTGACAGCACCAACATCCCTTGTATCCTGAGGGTTAATACATATATAGGGAGAAACGGCAGAAGTTGGCCTTTGCATATATATGTACATGTATGTACATTATTGCACGATCATGTTGATGGTACCTTACTTGACATTTTGCATAGATGACTGAAGATTGTCTTGTATTTATACGTGTACTTGGACCGAAGTGTGTGCCATGCAACTCATTTGTTTAATTTCTAAAATGAAAGCAAACAAATCTGTGCCATCCTCCATTGATAGTTAATTTGAAGGGCACTGTTAGTTAGTACCACAACCTGTAGTTACAACAAAACATTTGTCAGAAAGCCTAATGATTTATTTAGCCGTGTCACCCTCGAGTTGTAATTTGTCTGTTATTCACAGTGATGTGTGGCTTCTATTTATCTTTGAGTGTGTAAGATTCACTGAATATGAAGAAATAGGGCTGAGTCAATTTGAATAATTCATTGTTCGAATATTCGACCTTCAATTTGTTCGAATATTCGACCTTCAATTTGTTCGAATATTCGACCTTCAATTTGATCGAATGTCTGAATATTTGTTTGTACGTATTGACCAGCAGATTATTGAATGATGAACAAACCATACAAAATCAGTTGCAATAACTCACACAGTTGTACATTATAATCACTATTATCGTTTCACGTGTAGGGGCATCTACAGCCACGATTTAGCAAAGTTTAACAGACGAACAATACTTCTTGCCATGGTGAAAATTTCTATTCCTTTTAGATTTTTTGATAAACAATGTATGTTTTGAATCGTTATAAGATACATGTATATGTCACTTTTAATTTGAATCTGCTTGAAACAAGCCTCCATAGTGCAACTTGTCTCATTTAAAACAAAAGAAATATTCTCCCTTCCTTTTTATGAATTTTGCATTTGACAATTCCACTTCAGAAATAATATTCGATAATGGATGAAATATTTGGATATTCGGCGCAACCCTATGTACATGTACATGTGGAAATTGAAAGTATTGAATGCAAGTTTTACAGAAAAAGCATGTGTGACTAAATACATGTACATGTATGTATGATAATAAACCCGGAAATCTGTACAAATGCTTACTTAATGGTACATCTACATGTACCAGGTAGATATGTAAGCCATCTGGTACAGCCCAGGTGTTCTTTCTTCAGTGTGGAATGTACAATGTTTACTCCATCAACACCCAGGATATCAAATGTACAAGTACATGTGAGAAGTTAAATGGATCTCCATGGGCATGTACACCTGCTTCTCATATTTGACAAATGAAACCACTGGAAGGTAATGTGAGAGGCCACTGCACTGGCAGCTTGTAAGTTGTCAACTGTACAACTTTAAGTGGAAGTCCATGCTACACCCATAGCACTCAGCCATCACTGGTACTACGGAGCTATCCGTTTTATAGTTCCATGCTGGGACCTGCTTGTTAATTTAAAACTGAAGTTTAAACTTATTTTGTTGGTACAGTACATGTACCTGTAATAGGTACAGCCACGAGGTGCTACATGTAGTACCGGTACATGTACATACATGTACGTGTATACATGTACATGTAGAAAACTACGGTACCTCCATGTAATGGTACAGGTATACATGTACATTGTACATGTACATGTAGCTGATACAGTAGTAATATTGTATCAGTAACTCGTTGCCTCATCATCTGTTGCCATGGTAGCCTGTGCTTATTGATTTGTTCTCTTCAATTCCCTCAGTGGATCCCAATGTGTGTCATTAGCTCACTGTTTTCCCTTACCAGAAAGAGATACCAGTAATAAGCAGCCCGCCATTGTATCTGATTGCTTGAATGCCTGGTACCAGGTTGTAGTGTGGCTGATTTGTCAGTTTAACATTAAGTGAGTCTAATGGATCAGTAGGTTCCCTGGATGATTGACCGGTTGTGTTGATATGTGGTTTTTATTGCAAATGAAATTCTTGAAAACAGTGTCATATTCCGTAGTGCTCCAATTGAATGGTTTCCAATCACAGCTTCATTTCAATCGAAGGTTTTTGTCTATGAAATCAAACTGTTCATGCACTAGACATTTTTATGTACATGTACATGTACTTTACTGTTGCACCTACATGATATGTACTGTACATTGTCCCAAGTTAAAATAAAATTACTTCTATCAAATTTTTTCCCAGCAAGACATTTTTATTTATTTTCTTTTATTTTATTACACTTTTCCACTGGCTATGAAACCAAAAAATTAAATACATGTACATTAAAAACATAAAACAATTGACATGGCACAACAACAAACAGATGACGGCTATAAAAAAGAATAGGCTTAAAAAGCCAGTGAATGGCAAGATGAAACAGGTGACCAATACCTCTACAGAGCCATCCTACCACATGGCGACCCCCCCCACACACACTAAAGGAGAGTAAATATTGTAGAAAATGAACAAAGAAAATAAGAAAAGTGACTTTTATTGCACCGAAAACACCTAGTAAATCTGGTAAAAATCAGGCAAACCAGGAGACAGAAATGACACAATGAATGACATGAAAACCAGATTGATGAGATGGAAACTCTACATATACGGTATATTCAGCAAGACATGAGACCGGAGGAGTACCCGTACCCCCTAACATGTCCAATCGCTATACACACTCTAGGCTATTCAATACCCAACACATCCTCCCTAGATATCTGAAAAGAATTCCTCAGATTCCAGTGAAACAATGACCAACACAAAGGGGGGAAGATTCTCTGTCTCATATCTTGCTTTATATGTCTTCAAGGTAGTTTTGATATGGCCATCAATCTTATCTTGACTGCACAAAGCCTTCTGCACTGAGCATTAGTGACTGGCCCATTGCTGTGCTTGGAGGACATGGTGCCTCCAGTGTGATATGCATGTACAATGTGTACATGTAGGGAGGAAAAAACACCTGTCTGAGCCTTCCAAGGCCACTGTTAAAAGGCAGGTGATTCATCCTGTCTGTGGCCATTGTCACCAGATGACAAATATTTACAAACTTTGAATATAATCTGAGAAGTGTAGGCCTACATTACGTGTAATGGTACATGTTAACTTTTGTACAATGTACAATGTACCTCTACTAGTACATGTACATGATGGCTGAAACTTTAGCTTAAAAGTTACTTGCTAAAACACCGATGAACATGCCTCTGTTGCAGTTGGACAAATTAAATTCATGTGCACACGTTGTGTATCATGTCAAGTTACTTTGTATGCAGCAATAATTTTTGACAAAATTGGTCAATTCACAATAAAACTTGTACATGTATTCTTGAAATCCAGATGTGTATGGGCTTAACAGTTGCACACACCTGTTGTTTTAGTGACAGTGCACAAGTTGAAAGAGAATGGGTTTGGGAATAAAGGAATATGACACGACAGCCCTCTCTGTGCACCTCCATGGTTTGTGCGTGTAATCAGTGTAAGTTGGTTCGCATGTGGATGTACATGTACATGTACATGTACATGTATGCCTTGTACAGTGCTTGTACATATACATGTACATGTAGTGTAAAGTCATGAAGGACATTTGAATGTCATTTCTACCTTGAAGGCTTCAGCCAGAAGCAGAAGCCCTGATACAGTTTGGATAGCTGAGCTGGAAAGGGTGCTTTGGAATGGAACTATGTACAGTGTACATGTAACTAAGATTTGCATTTCACGTGTTGTATTAGAAGTTTTTGTTGCTATTACACCAGATATTTTTCTTCTTGTTTGAATGCCCAGAGACAGAACACAGCCCAGAGATCATCCTGTGAATGACATACCGGCAGTCCACCCTGAAGAGTAGGTATTCATTCCAGCATTTTTTGGCATGTTTGTGCATAAAAAGTGTTCATGTGCCGATAAAGTGATATCCCATTTCTGTTTTGTTCTTGGTACACGTAATATCACCCCATTTTCGATCCATCATCTTTAATATCGGATGCCAATTTTCAAGGAAAGCCTGATTTATATTTGATGAAATTGTTGGACTTATTTGGGGCCTTGACAAGGCTTCTCTGGCCTTTTTTCAGGGCTATGATAAGCATGCCTGTAATTTCCAGGGCAGAGCAGTTTGTACTCCTGGACAGGTGCAGAGTATGCCAGTACAAGTACCGGTGCATTGTACCACTATACAATTGCGTACACGTACCTGATGTACATATACATGTACGTGTACAAACCACTGGTTTAAAATTGCCGGCCCACTCCCAGCAAAATGTGCGCATATTGCCACTTTTTTCTTTAGTAATTCATATGTAGTTCAAGGTAGCATGTATAGAAAAAAATGATTGGGCCCTAGGGTCTGCCAAGCTTTAGCCGTGTTTGAAGATGCCATTGCATTTACCCTTAATCTACTGGTGGGTCATTCTATTGTAAATGTGGGGTTCAATTTTTGTCCCTGCCAGTCTGACATGTACCAGTACGTATGATACTGTACGTGTATATTTTACATGTAGGCCTACATGTAAGTTCAAAACTTTGTTCAATTCTGAGAGATGAATCAATTTCAGTGATACCGGTGTTAATTTCCATGTCAAATTGCTCAGGTTGGGTGTAACAAGGAGACAAACATGTCACATTTTTGGACCTTGAATTATAGAATGACTCAGAGTCAGGTGTTACGATACCGGTACATCGCCGTAAATGTGCATGTATGCGTACATAATGCATACCATGCACATTGAACATATCGGAATGTGTGCATGTACCTGCATTTACACCTGTGTACGGGTACAATAGTGCTATACACAAGTTTAGCTGGACTTGAAATTTTACGAGTGCACTTTTCAATACGCTTAACCCAGCGTGATGCCAAATATGTGTAGTTTTCATATGAAGAGTATAAAGCTACACAAACAATTGTATCTGTGATACCCGGTACTTACATGTACATGTACTGGTAAGAATTTATTGCATGGACCCTAAATTTTATATTCGAGTGGATTTCAATATGTACATGTACATGTACAGTATCATTGCTTCCTGGTGCATGTACATGTACTGTATGCTAAACTGTATGAGGTTTGCCAGTTAAATGTACATGTACTTCACAGATTCATGACTAAAATTGCGTGACCAATACTCACAAACATATGCCATACAGCAGTTTTTAAGACCCGTAAATAAACCCGATAAACGTAAATTTTATCTACGCTTGTACTTTCAAATTGGTGAATAGGCTTTGGGTTCCATGGAAACGGTAAATGTGATTATCTCCACTAGCCGGCCGGGTGGAAATGGAAGGATCTCCATCTGTCCATATCATTTTTGAGTGCTCAATTTACCCAATCATCAGACAGTACAGAAATACATAGTACATTATTCACAGAGCGTGCATTTAACAGAATTTGAGGAAAGATAATTTAATCACCAGCTCCAGGAATTCCGTTGTAATTTTGATGGGCAGCCAGTCGATATTTCCATTTTGTACCAGTGAGAACATTTTGTAAAATAACCTGTTATTGCACACCCATTCCTCGGTGAATGATGTTTACATGTACGTTCAATTAATCCTGTATGTTCATATTTGCACCTGTACATGTATCTTTAAGATACATGTAATAGCATCATCAGTTACGGTACATTCGGCAGCATTCCAGTGTCCCTGCACATTGAAAAATTATACATTTTTATAGTCAAATAAATCCCATTTTAAAAGCTTGCATACTGGTACATGTACGTGTCCAGTACAAAGTATAATATCCAAACTGATGTTTCAAAATGTGACCTTTTGGGTACATTTAAAACTTTTGATGGGGAAATCTACATGTATCATAAGTACATTTGTACGTTATACTCTACATCTGTATATGTGTAAACCTGTTAGTGTGCCAGAAGTGTTCATTTTAGATGTTGAGTTTGACGAGTAGTTTTGACTTCAGCAATTTTTAAAAACTGTTTTCCAAATACTGGAAGCACAGAAAAAATGTTATTTTATTAGCTGCATGGTAAACTACCAGTAATACGTGTTTAGTTGGATTGGATCAAAGTGCAAGTGAAGTGAGGCGGATGTGACTGGTATGCATTTTTCCCTGTATGTTTAACATGTCAATCTGTACAGTGTTTCCTGTAGAGCAGTTCCATGAAATGATTTCTAATTAGGTTTTCAGTGTATATGCATTTGTGTTCATTACCCTCACACCTTCCAGTGGCCACTGCCTTCTCCCATCTTTCCTGCAGAAGTTGGACATAATCCTTCATTATCACCAATTTGATCTTTACCCACGAGAGACTTTATCCCGGGAACCTGCAGTAACTCTCTGTCTCTCTCTTTTCTGTTCTCGTTCCTTCTCCTTTGCCATCCCTCCCTCGACATATCCAGGTCATCATCAGATGGTGATGAGGATGTTGAACCCAAGACGGACGCTGATCTCCATGACGACGGGTTGGCCTCATCATCAGCGCTCAGGGAGAGGGGAGTAAAGCGACGTAGATTCATGTCACATCCTCACCATCAGAAGACACGGAGGGGTCACTGGCCCTCTGGGTAAGATCCAGTTTGGCTGCAGGCATTTGTGCATGTTCGAGCATCTGTCATGGTGTCTACTCTCTTGTCACCCACGAAGAAGCTAAATGAACAACTTTGCTGACAAACAAAAGTGGTCAAATTTAACCGACAAAAGTCCGATTTGTAAAATGAAAAAATGGAATAGGATATAGATGATTCTTACATATATGCCAAAATATAGGTGCCAAAAATACAACCGTACGTTATTTGGAGTCAAACCATCCTAACCTTAGTAGTCTGCATGGACACAGGTTCGAACATGTTTTTGTGTGGTGCACATGTAGTTTCCCAGTTGTTGCTTTTCTTCAGTTCTGTAAACATGCAAGTACATACATTGTACCGTATGTACAAACAGGTCAGTGCTACTGACCTTATCCCTTTAATCAAGTCTCCGTCCCATATGGGATAATCCATTTTGCATGTGGTCAAGATGATTTTCAGTGAATTAGGATTTTGCGCTCTGTCAGTGACTCGTCTTTTCTTGTCGTGATTTTTTTCAGAACTGTCATCAGCAAGAACCACATTGTTCGCAGGTATGTACCTGTACATGTACTTGGGCCCATTCTTGTACTGGTATGGTGTTTTAAGGGAGTAACTATTAGAACTGAAAATATTGGTAAATGTATGCGTACCTACTGTACATGTACTGGTAGGCCTAATGCAGTACATGTACATGCATGTACTTGTATACTGTTCTGGAATGTTATACAGTCAAACCTCGCTAATAAGAGCACTGTTAATACAAGATTCTGCTTAAAACAAGAGTATTTTGAGGTCCCAATCCTTTGTTTTTTCATTGTTTTAATTCCTGATAATACAAAGGTTCCTGTTATAACATGGTAATTTACCAAGTCCGAAGGACTTCTTATTAACTACATTTGTCTGTACATGTTATAAATGTTGTGATATTCATGTGCTGAAAAGTGCACTTCGCAGAGGTTCAGTATTTGTTGCACTGATGAAGTAAAATTTCATCAGGTTAAATTTTTCATTGCCAAATGTACCCCTTGAGCATTTCATTTTGAAAGAAGTAGTGTCAATTTCTGCATTTAATGCAGAGATCATTGATGGTTAGTACCAAACAATGTGGTAATGCAAGGTAAAATGTTGTCAGCAGTGCTACATGTACATGTAGGCCCCCACTTGTTAGAAACATCTAACGAACTAAACCTTTGCATTATTATGTGCAGAACTGAACTGTTGACTTTACTACATGTACTGTTTGGGTCTGGAGTAACCTGCCAACCAGTGTCCGCTAAGATGCCCTCACTTTGGATTCATTTAAGCATTTCAGTACCTACATGTACTTGTGTGACCACTTTCAGGGTGTTTAAGTGACATGTGTCCTTTGCTGCTTGCCATAATCTTATCAATATTGATTTTATAGTACTTTTAAGCCATTATCCTGACGGTTCCCGGTGATTCTCTTGCCATTTTAGTTTTCTTCTTTTAATGTTTTTTGGTTCCACTTAATTAAGTGGCTTTCGAGCTACAGTGGTTTATTTTCACTTTTATCAATCCTGGCCACCTCAGAGTGGGTTCTTATGGTTTGTTGTTTGATTTTTGTGTTTTTTTTTAATATACATGTTCTTGTTTGTTGTTTACTCTTGTTTGGCCAAATAAATAATAATAATAATACATGTAATATGCCTTCTTGTGATAGCAACTACTTCTGTCTTTGAGGTACTGAAATGTTTTGTCAGTTTGAATTATTAACAATGAATGGATAAATGTACCACATGTAGGGGCTCTTTTCATTTATGAGTACATGTATAACCAAAGCATGCACCCGATGGCCACCCCAGAAAATATCTCATATTGCTATGTGGTGTGTTTTGTCCGGCTTAGACTGGACAGTAACATGGTATTTCCTGCACTGATCCATGGGTCATCTGAATTATCCAGGGGATTATGATACCTCATCCTTGTGCACTACTTGCAATAGACATAGACTGAGCTAGGCAATAGAAGTGACCTAATCATAGGTTACTGCTCTGACCTTGATATGGCCTGCATGTGGGGAAGTGACCACAGTAGGTTGACCAGAAAATGTGGTCACTTTCCCACACGTAGGCTACCAGTAGGTGGATCACAGCAATGACCCATGGTTAATTTCTAGACAATTGTAAGTACACTGTACATACATGTAGGTCAATCCAACCCACATTATTCTCTCAGTCAGACACTACTACATGCAGCACACATGTAGATATTCATGTACATAAATGGTAGGATACAATAAATGGTCCATTGTGAATGAGGCAGGCACAATTCCTGGACCGGCAAGTTTGAAAGAACCACATTTTGTCTGTGGGTGATGGGGAGGAGAGAAAGCCCCCTGAAATGTTCCAAGGTTTCTATAAAGGTTTTTTGGCCAGACTTCATTGAGCTTTTCGCAGAATCTGATAACTGTGGTACATGTATGTTCTATACTCAGCGGGGAACACTTTCAAGTAATGTTTATTTCACACTGACAACATTGTTCATTCTTTTCAACCGTCCCAAAACGCTGCCTGACAGTTGTGTTTGTTTTGTGGATGTCTACTGAAAAGTTGGAAAGATCAATCACAGATGTGGCCACATTACTTGTAATAAACACCTCATCACACGATGTTCTTGTACATGTAGGCCTACATTATATTTTAAGTGTGTAGTTTTCTGTAGAGTTGAATATCATTGAAACGGGCTCAGTAAATTGTGTGTCCCTTTTGTTGAAACAGGCAGGATTCTGTGTTTGATTGATTGTACAATGTTTGCCATGTAGTTGTCAATTTGTTTGTTAACAAGCTTCCAGACCAGAATCGATTTCTTTCTGTGCTAACATCTGCCACGATAATGTCATGGTTCCTGAGCCGCCACCTGTTTGTCAAGAAAAGTAAACTCCTTATTGTAATTCATCCTTGATTGCTTTGTTTTCCTTCATTTTCTGGTTGGTGGCCAGTCAGTTTTATTTTAGCACTGATTACTATTGTGGAAAAAGTGTGCAAAAATGTCTGATTTGATACCAGAATCTTGAGTGTTTTGGCACAAATACATGTACATGTACTATAGATGTCATTT